GTGTAGAAACCTTTATGTGTGTACCTACAAGGAACGGCAAATGCCACAAATAATAGCAAATAATAGCAAACTCGCGATCGAAACGCCGTCTCTTATCAAAGTCAATGACTTATCAAACATCCTACGTATACATCCTTTAATATTCGAAATGCATACTACGATATTCTGAGCATGTACAAAGGATCTTCCTGTGTCTGCATCCGAAACCTATTCAGCACATACTGAGAACATTCTGCAATATGTTACAAGAATATCTATGAGATGTCTTTTCAATATGTTTTACCAGATATCTAGAACAACATGTAACACGCATATACACACGTGCACAGCCGCGGACGTGTGCTCCCATATAAGTGAATGTATGATCGTTTTGTTTAAATAATAAAAACATTGGCCTATCATATTTTGCGACGCTGAACTCATACGTGTCCCTGCGTGGTTTCGATTCTGTACTAATCATCCACTCAATCTAGCTGCGGTTACTGTTGCCTGACTTCAATGATTAAAGAGAAGCTTCTGATGCCGATAAGCTCGGATGCCTTTATGAATTATGCTTATAATACATTCTTATATTAATCAAGAAATGTTATAATGACATATTTGTTGGCAAGTGTTGTAAACAATGCAATAACAGCGAACATTGATGGATATTGATACATTACATATTATATCTTAATATATATACTATACATACATACATACATATATATACTATACATAATATACATTATCGTAGACAACGCATAATATCTTACTCGTATATGCTATTCACATATTATATATACTATAGGTACACATAATATACTGAGAACACATTTGTATAACATTTTTCGTAATATGTATCATATCTCACCTCGGTATTGTCGTATAGTATCAGCTGGCGGTTATATTAAATTTCTATATTCTGAGTACGTCTTAAGAATGTACGAGACATGATGTACTACGAGAAATATTGTAGGATGTTCCCAATATATCACGTATATCTACAGTATATTCAGCAAGAGAATAATATATACGAACGACGCCACATGCCGTCTGGGATAAGCGCGTTTTCCGGCAACTTCGGAGAGAATAGTTTACATTGAAGAGGGAAAGGGAGAATTAATTTCTTTTTCTTCGAACGCACGAATACTGACCGTATCCACAATTACCCCGAGGAAATCCTAACGAAAGATAATCGCGGGATATAAAATGTCGAACTGCCCTCGCCAGCCGATCGGACGAAAAAAACCAAGGAATCCTCTTCGATTTTATACAAATCGCGTTCGTTGCATCGCGATTCTCTCGTCTCGCTCACTTCTTATGTTCGCCGAGGCCGTAGTACATACTACATCCCTGACACGCTCCCTCCTCTCCCGACGGTTTTAACCCGTGCGCCGGTCTTCGTCGGGATATCGTCTGTAAGATGAGACGCACCGGAGAAGCGCGCCCGATACGGCGGACTAATTGGCCGATAAATCAACCTACGGCTTACCTTCTCCGCCGCGCGTACCGCTCCTGACCTTCTAGACTCACGGGCAGGCCATCCGGATACATCTGCGGTACACGCGCGCCGCGGACCTAATTTCGAATGCGAGTTCCCGCCCCGTACGAACCGTATGAAACATTTAACGCTCAACGGGATCCGATTGAGCTGCTCGCGCAATTTTATCAGGCTATCAGGTCCGTCGACGCCATCTTCGAAGTTTCGCATGTTTCAGAAACGGATCCTTCCCCTCAGGAATCAAGTCGCGTGCTGATAAATCGAGGAGAAAAAAAGCGAATCGCGCTTATCGCAAGCCCATCGAGCTCGATCGCAATAACACCGCCGACATGTCTCATGCGTCCCATTACCCGGAGCCCGACCTCGAACCTGAGCGTCCCCGGCTCTCCCGGCGAAGGCTGAGTAAGAGGGAGAAAGAAGGCGAGAGAGATCGCCGTGAGCAGCACCGTACGTAGCCCCGGTAGCTCCGGTAGCCGCGGTAATTTGTGCCCGCGACCGGCGCGCGTCCTCGCCTCCTCGCGGTCGAGAGGAACACGTCGGCGCCGATGCGATATCTTTCGTGCGAAAGCAGCGGGAATGTGAGAAAGCAGTGTCTCGCAGTGGAACAGGTTCCTCGGTTTCCGGGGGCAGATCGACGACGACGAGGGACGCCGGCGGTGGAAGCTGCGGTGGATACAGGGGAGTGCAGCGCGATGCAGCCGTTCTACGTGTAAACTGCGCGCGCTACCACCACCACCACCGTTGCCACCGTCGCTGCCGCCGCCGCCAACACTACCATCACCACGTACGCGCGCTAATCGCATCGGGCAAACTTGTCGGAATTAATTGGTCCCACAAATTAACGCTCTCTCTCTCTCTCTCTCTCTCTCAATACGCCGAAGCGAAGAAACGAGGGCGCACAATCGGACGAGAGGCTCTCCTGCCGCCACCTCTATTCCGTAATCTCCGTCTCACTCCCGTGTCCGAAGCAGATACGACGAGAGGGAGAGAGAGAGAGTCAGCGTCTAAATCCTAATTAATTGAAATCCGCGAGAGCTGGAGTTCGCCCGCAACTCGCCGCGATTAGGCGTGGATCAGACGACGGCGTTCCGATTAATCAGCGTTAATAAGTGTGCGTTCGTACTGTTCGCGCCTTCCGACTCGACGAGGGAATTCATGATTAGCGTCGGGATGAAGCTAATTGTGCAAAATGCGCACACATACGTAGGGTATCGCGATTATCGTTGATCGAGTTACTCCCGGGTCTCGCCGGATTGATTCGCAAGTTATCGTGATTTGAAAATAGCGGATGCTCGTGCGGAAAGTATGAAGTGAGTTATATTGTTAATTTAGTATTTAGTCGGGTGAGTGGCGTGTTCAACAGAAGGTTTATTTTACAGTTGTCGGAAGTTTCTTGTGCTGAAAGACTGGATTATTTTTCCTCTAGATCTAAAGGAATAATTAATAATTGAATCTTAGTTAAGAAAATGTCCAATAATTGCAAAATAGAGATTCCGTTGAACGTGGCACACAATGCACGATACGACTTTGTAGTTCTGAAGTGTTCTCGTTGTGTGAAATTATCGTATTCGGATTCCTATTTTATCGACACTCCTGCGGTACGCAGTTTCCTGCTTCGGTGTTGGTCGTATCGACCGATTGATTACGAGGAATTAAATTATCCACACAAGAAAACATCGTTCTTACCACAGGACGTGATTCTGTGTTTAACATATCTTTAAGGCAGGATCTTTCCTTGAAGTCGCTAACACGATGAGCAAGCGTATGCGAATGTTGTACAAAAATCCACCATGAAGTTGTTTTACGATTTCGAGATATTGATAAAAATAGTGGCGGCTCGTGCGGGAAGTAAAAATAACACAGATCGATCCATTAGATACCTTCGAACGCGCTCAACGGATTACGTAGCTCCATCTAGCAGTGTTGCGAAAAGATCCTTCACGCTAAGAGGATAAGGGATACTTGAAAACTTAATCGATAGAATTTGATTTTGAGGGTCGCTTCTACGTTACCGTCGCTCATCAATTTCATCATTGATATTGGCATCGGCTGAGTAGGTTCGAGTCTCCGCTAATTGATCTATCCTCCTTCTCCTCTTCTTCGTTATATTAGCATCAATATATGCGTTGATGTCAATAATATGTCACTACGGTAACGTTTAATAATAATAAGTAATCCATTATGATTAGGCTCGTTACTTTTGCTAGTTCCGAAAGTTCCGCTACATGTCGCCACCGTTTCTACCGACAAGTCGAAATCGTAGTTTTGTACGTTATCTCTAAAGTAAAAGTTTAAATTATTTTCTGCGATTTTATACTATAATAGTAACATTGTAAATAATTAGGTCAGATAGACTTAATCCCTAGATCTTGTACACTTTTTGTACACATTTCCCTATAAGCACGTATTATATTATTTAATATTAAGTAATATTTATGGAATATTAATAGATGTGTTATATGTTCATTCTTAATAATATTTAAAAAATAATATTATTTAATATTATTATATTATATATTTTTTAAATATTCAACTCTATGTATATATATATATATATATAATAAATAAAAAAGAATGAGGTCGTAATACGATTCAATGATGAGTCGGCTAACTTTTTATTTTTCAAGTAGAACAATTTAACGGCAAGTCAGACCCTGTTATTTTCAAATGGCACGACCTAACATCAGATCAAAAGGCCTTTTTATTGCCCAGGATGATTTAACGATAGGTCAGGCGACCTTTGTTATTTTCAAATGGCACAACTTAACGGCCGACAAAGAGATCATTTTATTTTCAAATATTACGATTCCAGAGCAAGTAAAATCACTTGTTATTTTTCGAGTAATACGACTCAGTTGATTTGGCCAAAGGACCATTTTATTAATCAGATTTAATAATATTTGGTTTGTTCCTTTTTGTTAATTCAAGGTGTTAATTCAAGAAATTCAAGAAATTTACACACACTGAAGCATAAGAATCTCGTACGTTTGCTTGCATACGCTTTAATGTAATGTAATATTCAGTTCAACTAAAAAGAGCGGACCAATTGAGTTATCCTATATATAGCACACTTTATCAGAGGGACATCCTTTAGACGTTCTTAGGACGTTAAAAGTCTTATGAACGTTTTTAGGATATCCTATATATCTTATTGTAGGTTAATAATGGAATTAAATCGGGATTAGAGCAACTAATTAGCGTAATAACTAAACAGATTAACAGATTGCTCTTATTACTGACTGTAACAATTCTCACCTGCGATTTTTCTATCAGTTAAAATCTATTCGCTATGACACAAACTTAACAGCGCTTGATCTCTGCAGAAATATTTCTGATCACTCGTAATCTTGAATCATATGTCGACCCGAGCGTCTGAAATATAAACCGTGTAAATGCGGGACAAAAATGCGAAATATAAACCGTGTAAATGCGGTGTCAAACACGAGCGTACCTGCGACGTTCGAATGTCGCGCCTCTAATGCGTTTTCCCGGCGCGCGGCGCGCATGCGCGGCCAGTGCTTTGCGCTCGCCTCTGCACCGCAATGTCGGCCGTCGGCGTACCCTGACGAGAACGTCGCTCGCGTTTTCCGCGATTTTCTAAGTGAAACGCGCGTCGCACGCGCCCGCACCGTCGCCGAGTGCCGTGCTATGACAGAGTGATTCGCGACGTGACGAAAATTAGTCCGCTGGTTCGCCGCAGCTCACGACGCAGCTGAAGATGGGTAAGTAAAGAATTTCGCGAGGCATTCGGTGAACGCCGGCTGGGCTCTCTCTTTCTCTCGTCGCGTTTTTCTCTCTTTCCCCGTTCTCTCTCTCCCCCCCCCCCCCC